AAACAGATATTTGTGATTTATTAAATAATAAAACCACATTTGTATTTGTGAGCAATCACGAAGGATTAAATATATTACAATTGAATGGTCTATTATGTCCAACTATGACTGCATGTTTAACAAATTCATTATAGCGAATTGTATCTTCAATCGGTATTGGATTTGTCTTTTCTCTAGTGGTATGAACACATGTATCATCAACTCAACCAAGTAAAATATAAAAGCCAAAACCTTTTAGAGTTTAGATCATCTATTTTATAATCATCATTCTCCATTTCTCCTTTAATGAATGCAAGGTTTGGGGAACCTTTTTTTATAACTAATTCTTTCGCACCATCAACAATATCATTTCTTTCAATCCATTTTATAGAACTTTCTGGTATTACTAATTTCATCGCATTCCATAGAATATCAGGTATTCAACATAATAGTTCCTGCTTCAATCAATTCATAAGCATTATGAATTTTGACGCCAGATTGAGTAAGCTGTTCTCCTACTTTAGGTGACAATGGAGCACCAACATAATGGATAGCTTTTAATTTTAATAACGCATTAATTTCATCTGGACGATCTTTATGAATTTGTTCAATGCTAGCAGGTAAAGTAGATAAAACACTAGCATTAGATTGTTTTAAGCTATATAAAATTTCATTAACTAGAGGAATTGATCCTGAGACGATTGAAAATGCCCAGGATTTACAATAACTCTTATTAAAACAATTACCCCATAAGCATGAAATATTGGAGCGGTTGATACAATAATATCATCAGCTTTTTCAATTGCATCCATATTAAAAATAAAACGACTGATAGGAATTAATTTAGAAAATGAGATTGAACCGGAACTATGAAAAATGGCGATGGTATTTTCAGGATCATTTAATTTTAAAACAGGGGCGAAATGATTAATTTGTTCATTCTTTAAATTATTAGGTTGTTGAAAGATATTAAGCGTTTGCGTATATTGAGAATTTATTTCATTCTGAACATTTTTGGAAGTTTTTAAAAGTTTAGGATCGTAGATAATAATACGCGATTTAGCTTCTTGAATTAAATGAATCAATGCAGTTTCGGAATTTCGAGGACTAAGGAATAAGATTGTAAAACCCAATTTCCATAAGGCCATGATGTTATACAAATATTCAGGACCACTTTGTGATAAATAACCAATCACACTATTTTTCTTCAAGTTTTCATTCTCTAATTGTTTATTCCAATAATTAACGTATTTATTGATAATAAGATCCAAATCTTGAAATTTAATTTCTTCATATTCTGCACCATTGGGGACCAAAATAACTTTTTCTCCTGGTCTAGTTGACACAAGATTTTGAAAAACTTTTAATAAACTTCGGTGTTTGTGAGACATTTTTTTTGCTTCGATAACAGAATAAAATTTATAGAAGGTTTGTTTATAAAATTTGTCTTGATTTACGTACTTACTACAGTTATCAGAGCACAAAATTTCTGCCTACGTAAGACAATTTCCGACTCGACTTTTCATCGGTCGGAAAATTTACAAATTTCATTGGCTATTATATTTGAACCTCCGATCAGAAAGAATATTGCAAAAAGCAGGTTACATCCATACATGGGTGTCTAAATTATTTTTTAAAAAAGTAATTTCGACAAACATTTCGACATTGCTAGTTTTTTTATATGAATTCCACAAAGTAACTATACTACCTAGAGTATTTTGACATAAAGAATTTAAATAATTTCACTAAAAATTTCGACAACTATGAAATTCAATTTCGCCATCAGAAATTTTGTGCCCTGACAGTTATACTCTCTATAATCGCCTCCTATATAATCACAAATTCTATAATCACCTTAAATTTTGAAAAAAATGCTTCTATACCGGGTGTCCAAAAGTTCCTATACATGGTCCCCTTTTTTTAAATACAGTATTGCATAAATAATTATTGTGATCTCAATATATAAGGTCACTTTAAAAAAAGGGACCATGTATAGGAACTTTTGGGACACCCGGTATAAGCATATCATAATAAAATTTTTATAATCACATATTTTTTGCATAAAACAAATTGAGTGATTATAGAGGAGTGCAACTGTATTTCACTATACGAGTGCTGTCAATAGAAAACCTGTCATCGGGCTTTCAATGTTCAATTGGCTTTCTGTATGCTGTCTATGGACAATCTATCATCGAAATAGATTGCCCATAGATAGCATGCAGAAAGCCAACTGAACATTGAAAACCCGATGACAGGTTTTCTATTGACAGCACTCATACATATACATAAATGGGTAGTTATTTTTGAACCGGGATCAATTTGATCTGGATTCAAAAACAATTGGCCAAAATATTTACTCAATTCAAATTTGTTACTAATATAGTAAAATCTATATAAGTATACATGATTCCTTTTTATCTGCCAATAAGGGAACATCTATAATTTACGTTAAACCGGTACTGCATTGTATAAAGATAGGGGCCTTAAAGGTAATGACATATAGTATTATTTTTGTATTATCTTTTAAGATCCCTATAACAATACTGGCTTAACGTAAATTATTGATGCCCCTAATCCATTATCTACGTACACTGTACTCCGTTCTTGGTATGATTAATAAACCGATAAATTAATTTATTACCGTAAATTCTCGAAATAGCGGGCATCTGCGCGCTATTTTGACTTTGACTACGTGCGCGTTATTTCGAATACACCCATGGGCATTATTTCGAGATAAAGTATTAATTCTGTATTCTGATTGTTAAAATGAATAAGTATCAGGTGCATGTTGGGCCCGATATTTACCTGCTTTACAGAAACCTATGTTTTTTGCTAAATATGTTTATAACATATTTATTATTAACAATATTATTATTATATGATTTAAATAGTATATAATAAATATAATTTGAATACATATTAATCATATAATAATTATATTTTTGTTCTTTCTGCTAACTCTCTTGTAACTTCATTCCTAATAA